GGTTTTCTTACATTGCTGGACCTGCTGGTGGCTGGTTTAAGGATGGGGTGGAGTGGGTGGGGGTGAAGAAGACAACCATTTTCTTTATTTTCTTAATTTTTTGATTTTTTTCTTTATTTTTTTGATTTTTTTCAATTTATTTAATATGGTAATTATCAAGTTACCATTTTACCCTTTCAAATTTAGTTAAAATAGGTCAAAATTTACTTTTCTTGGTCAACAAATGATCAAACGGATGGTTTCCATCCATTTGAACCTCCGGTGCATATTTTTGAAAGGTTTGGTACCTTCGGTGGCACAAACTAAAGGTTTGGGCAAAGTCTGCTAATAAACGAAAGATTTGGACCTCGGTTGCAATTTTCCCTTTTTTTTATCAATGACACCATAAAATTGAAGATGGAGAACCATGTTTGTAGGTGGATTAAATATTTCAATTGTCACTGACTTTTTTAAAAAATATTTTCCAATTGCCCTTCAACTTTAAAAGTTATTCAAATTGTCATTGAACTTTTTTTTAATTACTATTGAATTTTAAAAGTTCTCCAAGTTGTCACTGAACTTATCAAAAGGGTATCCCATTTTCACGCCGCCCTTATCATTTTAAAAAAGTTAACGAACATGATTACATTGCAAATGAAATGACAAACCTTCTAGGTTAATTTATCAAGCCTGTTAACTTTCAAAGCAATGAGATTAGGGATGACAAAATTCTCCGTCCCTCCAATGTCCCAAATGGGAAGGGAACAGCGATCACGATCACGCTCCGTATTAATTGAAATCACTATAGATATTTTTTTTTATTTTTTTTCAATATAAATCTATTTAAAAATTAATAACTGATTAAAAAGATAAGTAAGTGGGTATTTTTAATGTCTATCCTGCTCCATTGCAATCCTTACGAGTTATGGAGCAATGAATAGTATAATATTTTGATGAATTCAGTAACAATTCAAAAAAAACTTTAATTTGCAAAACTTTAATGACATCTCAAAAACTATGTAGATTTAAATGACAATGAAGCAATGTTAGTCAAAGTTCAATTACAATTGAAATATATGACCCTAATTGGATGGAGACCTGGTTCAATTTTTCATGGAATAATATATAGTAGAGTTCCGCAACCTTTGGCCCATATTACACTTTGGTCCTCAACCATTAAAACACATCGCTCACCGCTAAGACCTCCATTGACATAGCACATACATATACCAAATCGCCAGCGAGAAGACCTTCTGCAAGAACCGCATCCCTCGCACACCGATTCGTGACAAATTTTTATGTATTTTCATATTAATAACATATATAAAAAATTTGTGGCTGCCTTTACTTTTTATAAAATAAACGCAAGGCCTTGCCGTTTAGTTATAGAATGGAATTATGTATTATGCTATTTGTACAAAGTGTATTTACAAATTTGGTTGTCAAAATAAGTGTTGGCAAAATCCAAGCCATTAATTTTCAACGATTTAAGAATCTATTTTTGAAGTGATTGATGCAGATATTATTTTAACAACCAACTCCGTACACATAGCATTGTTAGGTTTAATGTCTCAAAATTGGGTTGAAATCTTGGAAGATCACGTTTGGCTTGAATTTGGAAAGAAATCAAATTAATCCAAGATTTTTTCTTTTTACGCGGTTTAACCTAATTCTAGTATATTTTCTTACCTTTTAGGACTCTATTAGGATTATAAACGTGGTCTATGAATTAGAGACTCCCTTGTCGGTTTTAGATGAAGTATTATTGTTGTCATGTATTATTCTTTTCGTATTGTCGGTTTAATAAATTTCATCGTTCCTATGCTTAGTTTCTCTTTTTCTACTTTACTTTAATCTTGTTTTCGTGATGTGATTTTGAATATTTCATAATTGTCGTCAGTCTTAATCTTACATCGCCTTTGGGATCAACAAGTAGTATCAGAGTACGGGTTGCAGGTTCTTTGTGATTTGGTTGAGATTTTTCAAGGATGAATTCGTTGAAGTATGAAATTCCGCTGTTGGATCGCAGTACAAGATTTTTGCTATGGCAAGTAAAGGTGAGGGCTGTGTTGACACGGATGAATCTTGATGATGCTTTGCTAGGTTTTGAGAGGATGCTAGCGAATTTGTCTATGGAGGATAAACAACAGAGGGATCTAAAAGCTCTAGCGCAAATTTATCTTCACTTATCCAACAATATTCTGTAGGATGTCTTGAAAGAGAAGACAGCGACTGCTTTGTGGCTCAAGTTGGAGCAATTGTGCATGACAAAGAGTATGACGAGCAAATTAACTCTAAAACAGAAGCTGTATTCCCATCGCATGGCGAAAGGAGGGTCACTGTAGGACCATATTATTGTGTTCAAGAAGATTGTTGCAGATTTGGAGACGTTGGAGGTAAAATATGATGAAGAGGATCTGGCCTTGATCCTGTTGTGTTCACTACCCAGTTCTTTTTCATCGTTTCGTGATACTATATTGTATAGTCGTGACACACTGACCATTGAGGGGGTATATGACGCCCTGTTCTCAAAGGAGAAGATGGAGCTGCTGGTTGGAGATCCTACATCTAGGGGTGGGGATGCTCTGGTTACACATGGTGATCAATGAAAGGATAAATTGAAGGTGATGTACAGCAATGTGTATTGTTATTACTGCAAGAAGAAAGTACACATTAAAAAAGATTACGACAAGTTGCAAGGTAAAGATGATTTGCATGCAAATCATGCGGGACAATCGGGTAACGAGACTCACATTGTTGAGAATTTTGCGGATGATGGAGATGTAATGTTGGCTATATCTGATGGGGAATCCAAACCTGGGGAGTGGATTCTGAATTTTGCATGTTCATATCATATGTATCCTAATAGGGTTTTGTTTCAGACATATGAGACGGTGAAACAAAGTGGAGTTGTCATGGGAAACAACCAATCTTGTCGGGTTGTAGGAATTGATCGGATCATATTGAGGCTACAAGATGGGACAGTGAGGAAAATTGATCAGGTTCGCCATGTTCCAAACTTGACAAAGAATCTCGTATCGCTGAGTACCATGTATGCAAAAGGGTATAAATTCTCTGGTGGATGTGGAGTCTTGAAGGTTCGAAGGGGTGTTTGGGTTGTACTGGAGGGACGGAAGAAGTCTCAATTGTACATCTTGCAGGGGAACGCAGAACCAGTTAAGAGACATTTGGACAAGTTCAATACCGTAGTAGAAATTCAGTTTGGTACAGTACCTCTTGTGGCGAGCTATGAGTTGGTTAAGAATACTACTAGGGAGAGCATTGGTGATTCCGCTTTACCATCAATTTCAGCTGATACATTGTATTCAATTGCTAGGGTTGGACTCATGGAGCATAGGTACGATAGTGCCAATAATGTCTGGAATGCTTTAGGGGACGTTGAAAGCGACATTTTTAGCAAGGGGCCTTCTGATCCAGCATGTGGTATAGTTTCTACTACAGAGTGTGCTTCGACCTTGTTTGGTCAACAGTAATTTCTCGGTGAAATTTTGGGAACCCGGGATTTGAGTTCGGGTGTCGCTTGTGGACGCAGTGCAGAAGACGATGATTTGGTGATGGAGATTTTGGTTACTATGTTGAGAAAATTGGTCAGTTCATTTCGAAGCAGATGGATTTGAAATTTTAGAGTTTCGTTCGTTGCACTGGAATTTTGAGTCAAGGTCGAGATTATTAGATTTAATGCCTCAAAATTGGGTTGAAATCTTGGAAGACTACGTTTGGCTTGAATTTGAAAAGAAATCAAATTAATCCAAGATGTTTTCATTTTACACGGTTTAACCTAATTCTAGTATATTTTCTTACCTTTTAGAACTCCATTAGGTTTATGGACGTGACCTATAAATTAGAGACTCCTTTGTCAGTTTTAGATGAAGTATTATTGATGTCCTATATTATTCTCTTCATATTGTCGATTTAATAAATTTCATCGTTCCTCTGCTTAATTTTTCTTTTTCAATTTTACTTTAATCTTGTTTTCGTGGTATGATCTTGAATATTTCATAATTGTTATTAATCTCAATCTTACATCGCCTTTCGGATCAACAAGCATAACTCATGAAATTATAAGCATGTCAAATTGCTATGTCACCAATTTCATCGGGACACAAGGTTGGTAGTTCTGCTTCCATATCTGTTTTACGTGTTAGTTGGAAATAAATTCATTTGATGTCTTTATGAATTGATACGGTTGAAAGTTTTTTGTTCTTGAAATTACTATACTTGTTCTAAAAGCTGAGTTTGTTGCTGATTTTTAGTTGAAAGCATGTTAGTAGTTGAGCGATGCATATGAATTTCTTGAATAATTTATGCGAATTGATGGGTGACTGAATTTATTTATTGGGTAAATGAATTGCAAAATGGAAGTTTATGAATTTTATTTCGTAGACAAGAGTCACAAGGAGATATAACAGAAGTAGACTTTGATAATTGTAAAGATGAAATTGACAAAATATTTTTAATAATAGAAGGCGATGGATGATCAATTCGACAATTTCATGAGTTCATGAAGTGACAGCTTAGAAATTGGCAGCTGGATGGATAAAATGCAAACAAGGCCATTGATGGATATTCCCTTTATTCCGGCCTCGGGCCAAGTAGCTGAAATCTAATCTTCTTCAATGCTACAACAACTTCTTTCATGTTCATTCTCTCATTGGCACTTTCCGTGGAGCAATTTAAAGCAAGTTCCATTAAAGATGACAAACATTTCAACTTTTTTTGCGTAGTGTTCCTCTTCTGGCACCAACAACTTCGAATCTATAATTTGGGGAATTGCATTGGGCATAGAATCATTTATCCAGCTCCTTAGATTTATATCACCGGAAAATTTTTCACTGCTTGGTTTCTTTCTTGTAAATACTTCCATTAACATGATCCCGTAGCTATAAACATCACATCTAGTTGACACCGATCCTTCTAATCCGTACTCTACACAAGCATTAAGCAATTAATTAGTTGTATTAAATTTGGTGTCACCGTAAATTAAAAATACATAGAAGCANCTCTTTTGTTTACCAATGGGACATGATGAGAGACCATATATAGGATCACCACATAATCCTTCATTAGAAATGAAGGATTGACTCGAAAAGTTTCTGAAAGGACCACCAGAAGGAACTTCACCACTTAAATCATTGAAAGAGAAGTTCAAGTATGTGAGATACTTAAGTTCCTCCAAGGACTTGGGGATATTACCCGAAAGATTGTTGTAAGATAGATCGAGTCGCTCCAGGTTCAGCAGCTTACCCATTGATTCCGGAATAGATCCGTGCAGTGTGTTATGTGCTAAGGAAAGATTAATCGAGCTCTGTAGATCACCAATTGTTGTTGGAATCCTACCTGAGAATCGATTGGCTGATAGATCAATAACAGTTGCAGCCTTCAGATTCCCTATTTCTTGAGGCAGAAGCCGCTCAAAAAATTTGAAGATAGACTCAACTCCAGAAGATCATTCCGGAGCCATAGGCTTGCAGGTATGGTGGAGGTCAATCTGTTGCTGTCTATATATAGAACCCTTAGTGTAGTAATATTCCCTAAGCAGTCTGGAATAGCACCTGTTATTAAATTTTCCGACAACAGCAATCCATAGAAATTGGGAAGTTCACAAAGAGTTTCAGGAATAGATCCACTTATCTTATTTGTACGAAGATCTAGTCCTTGAAGATTTTGCAAGCCCGCAAAAGTTGTTGGAAATGATCCCGTCAACTCATTGCCATACAGACTTAACACTATCAAACTGCTGAGATTGCCTATTTCATTTGGAATGCTACCTCGGATATCACAATTATATGCATATAGATATAGAAGTGAAGTGGAAAGATTTCCAACTGAAGCTGGAAGAATGCCATTCAAAGGATTATTAGCAAAAATCAATTTTGTTAAATATCTACAGCTTGTCAATGGTGTGATGAAGCTCAGTTCTGAAGATTCACTCATAAAATTGTTGTCACCCAAGTTTACACTTTCAAGGAATCTCAAATCCCCTAGGAAGTTGGGAACATCACCAGTAAAATTGTTTCTAGACAGATCTATTGTAATGAGTTTAGAAGAATTTGCAATGGAATTCGGTACTCTTCCGTGGAAATTATTATTGCCCATGTAGAGTATTTGAAGATTAGGAAGCACGTAACCCAAATTCAATGAATCTAGGTTGCCTGAAAGTTGATTGTCTGAAACTGAAATCACTAACAATGTTGAGATGTTGAAGATCTTTTGGGGAACGGAACCGCTTAAACTATTGTAGCTCAAATAAAGATACTCCAAGTTGTAAAGGTTGCCAATCTCTTGTGGGATTACACCTACAAAATTTTTAAGTGCTCAAACTTTCTTCAAACTGCTGTATAAAAATACAAAGGACAAATAAGAAGTTGTTTGAATCTACTAAATTGAAAGTTACCAGAAAGGTTGCATCGAGCAATGCTAATATATTGTAATGATGAAATGTTAAAGATACTGGCGGGTATAGAGCCCGTAAAAAAATTAGTTCGCAAGCTTAACTCCTTGAGGTTCTCCAGGTTACCCAATTCATGTGGAATCGCACCTGTCAAATTGTCAAAACAGACCGAGAGATTAAAATTATCAACATTAGTAATCTAGTGAATACACTATAATCTTAAGTAGTAAAACTTAGGTTACCTGAAAAATTATTTGAATCAAGATATAAAATCTGAAGCATCCTTATTCTCCCAATTTCTCTTGGAATGGATCCATTAAATTTGTTGATTGACAAAGAAAGGTTCTGAAGTTGTGAACATTCTGATAGACCAGAAAGAGTTTCACCACCCAACTCATTTGAAGATAGATGAAGCCCTTTGAGTCTTGGAAGTCCATGGCATATGTCAAGAGGGAGATGACCAGATAAGCTATTCCCTGTCAACGAAAGAATTTCCATTGCCGATATGTTGAAGATCCTAAAAGGTATTGGACCAGTGAGCCTGTTATATCGCAATCTAAGCGTTTTCAAGTTATAAAGGTTTCCAATCTCCTGAGGGATTTTCCCTTGTAGATGATTGGAAGAGAGATCCAGATTCTGGAGAGTGGATACGTTAGAGATAGAAGGCGGGATGAGACCAGTAAAACTATTATTCCCAAGGTTCAAAAGTTGAAGTTTAGGTAAGAAATGAAACCATGAAGGAATTTCACCACTGAAATTGTTGAAGCTGAAATCAATGGTTTTCAATCGTCGAAGTCGAATCAACTCCTGAGGCAGACTACCCTGAAAATAGTTTCTGCTTAAGTCTATAGAAACAAGAAAGGATAGATTTCCCAATTGGGATAGGACGTTTCCCGTAAGATTCATGTTGGAAATATCTAGTCCAGTTACTCTTTGGTGGCGAAGACCACAAGTAACTCCAATCCAGACACAGACAGAAGTAGAATCCGACCAGTTACTAGATAAAACGTGCGAAGGGTCTAAATTGATGTGGGCTTTTAAGGTGAGAAGAGAAAGTCGATCAGTCGTAATATTGGTTGTTTCCATAGCTAAGCAAGCCATTATACACTGCAACAACAAAATTGCTTGAAGAAAGTAAGTAGCCATCTGCATGACAGTTTTTCTTGCTGCAGCTAACAATGCTGGAATGGAGTTATACATTGCACACTGAAAAGAGCATATTTATAAATTTCTTTATTTTAGGAGACTGACATCTTTTCTTTGATCTTTTCAGTCGGCTTTATGTTTCGCAATGAAAGTCAATCCACTGAATGAAACAATTTTGTCTTGCATCGAAAAGAGGAGGAAAGTCCGAACGCATGGAATTGTTAATTTTCGGACAGCAATGATTTGCCAAGTTGAGTCAGGCGCACCTCATTTGACTAGCAGAAGTGGAGAAGTACCTCAGTCACTTGTCTTCCAATAGTACAATTCCAACAACCCTCTTTATATTTATCCTTTTTTTTTTTTTTTTTGTTGTACAACTCTCCAGTAACTCTCTTTAACATTCTTGAATGGGAGGGAGTGGGTCCTCCTTCCTAGTGATTAATTCATATAAAATTCAGGTAATATTTCAATACTCAAATATCTATCTTTGTTACTTCACAATGCTTGATTGAATTTCTAGTTACTGAGATGAAGATGAACCATTTCTACTGATGTTTTAATTCCAATTTTAAGACTAACATTTGTTGTTTGTTCCTTGGCTAATAATTGAACTATTTTGTGATTTCTATTGACATTTGAAAATGTAACACATAATAACAACTATTGTAAAGTCCGACCGGAGATAGATATATAGCATTATACTTTATTACATGATTATTTTGAATAATCTTTTGTTTCAATGTATAATTACATATTCGTATCGGATCATATTTGAAGATAGATTTTAATTTAGAGCGGCAACCATATTCCCCAATCTCGCCCCAATCGCCTAGCAGAACAGGGTAAAGGACACGACGGTCTAGATATTTTGCCATCATTCAAGCAAAGCGAGCGTCATTGCTGCATTCCGAGCTGTAAAATGGAAGTCAGGAAAATATTCCGGGCAGATGGTGTAGGACGCCAGCTCACGCCGGAGTCGATCCCATAATCCAGGTAGCCTGCCCAGCCAACCTGAGGAGCTCCTCAGCAACCGCTCGTGGGATCATATGAACCCTAAACAGCTATAATGTTCAATATAATAGTAAGACTTCTCAAGCCATGAAATCGAATCCAGAAATACAATGCTATAATAGTAAGACTTCTCAAGTCATGAAATCGAATCCAGAAATACAATGCTAGTTATTCCTTCAATACATGACAAACTTCGTCTGACATTATAAATTAATGGCGACCATCGTATGATACAATCCAAATATGATGACGACTAAAACACTAGTTCAGCTCCTCTTCAAGAAACGCAATAAAATGAATTTGAAAGATGCGGGACACAGTTAATGACCGCCCTAATGATCCCGGGAAAAAGAAAACCTTTCAAATATGAGTAAGATCCTGGGATTGTCTGGCGAAAAAATTCGCTATAAAATAATTTCTTCTTATCCATCTGAATTCGTAGACGAATATGAACTACAGGGCCCCAAATTTAACTCAAGAAGTGGCATCGACTGATCTTTTTGCCTTGGCAGCAAATGTTTCTGCCACCAGGAGAGGGAAAGCAATAGTTGCATCACAGTGCACCTGGTTTGTCAATAAAAGATAAGGAACAAGTTTGAAAACTACACAGCATATTGATGAAATTGAGAAATAACAAACAAAAAGTCAAACCTTAACTGTCTTAGCAGAACCTCGAATTTTGCCCCAGGACACTGCTTCATCGGGACGGGCACCAGAATCACTTCCATCGAACTCTTGTGCTGTGTTGATAAATATAGCATAATCCGCACCATTGCGCATCATATTTGCATTGCATATATGATGCTTGGGCAGCCCCCCTCCAAGAATTACCATTCCAGTCTTCCTGAGACCAGCATGGACCGCCTCGCCATTCATGGCCCTAATATCTGTTTATAAAGCTTTATGTGTTCGTTATTATACAGTTTTAAAAATTAGCATGAGATTACAGTGAAAATCTCTTACCTTGCACAATGTCAATGACTAGACCAGGCTCCTTTTTAAAGGAATGGAAGTACAACATATCACCCAGCGAACCATCTGTTAAGCCAGGACAGAATACAGGAATATCGTTCTGCAAACAGAAAATTCAAAATTGATAAATCAGAGAAACTCAACAACTAAACACAAGTCTTTCTTCACAATAAATTTTGGGTGGGCCACGTGAATCATTTTTTACTATGTTCGGTTTATTGTTCATTGCGGATAGTTTCGGTCCACCATCTTCTATGGTGTTCTACCAAGATGGCTTCCACTCATACAACCTAAGTCCCCCATTCCTTAATTTATTGAGCTCAAACGGCTTTACCTCCCCTTGCTGGCATATATTTTAGCATTATCCATCTCAGTACCACCATGGTTCAGAAACAGATAATACATAAAAACCAATAAAATTGTTGAAAACATAGCAAACATTAAAAAAAATAATAATAAAAATAAATAAATAACTTAGGATGTTGTCTAATGATGGTTTTACTGAAATTGTCAAATCCTCGTAACCAAGCCCTAACAACTCTTTAGGGATGCAGATCGTGTAACACGCGCAAGCAACCAGGACGCAATTCTTTCGCTAAATGATGTAGTCATCAATAGTTATGCATGGGAGCGCTTCAAAAGAAAAATCAAGTGCTATTACTAATTTACTAGAGAGAGCCAGCTTTTGAGCATTTGCCTTGAGCCCTCGCTCAAGTATTTATGACCTTGAATTAAAATTGTAATTAGTCTAACTTATGCCCGGTAGTAAATGATTATTGAATGGAAGAAAAGCAAATGAGGCTGATCTTCAAAGGCTTAAATCAGATTCATGTTTTGCTAAAGAAAAAATGGATATACGTGTTCTACTAGACTGGGGCAGAGTTTATGCTTCTCAATTGTCGGTACAAACTATTAAATATATTTGAGATAATGTGTCCTACAAAACCCAAATGCAAAGGTGAAAAAGTGCAGCATATAATTGCTTGTGTAAAGAAGTTTCAGTCAGTGTTCAGATTTAGGTCGTGGCGTTATTGAAGCTACAAATAATAAAACAAAGCAATTTCTCTTCTTCAAAATTAAAAAGCTTGCTAATAGTTGTGAGACTACTTAAAGCATATCTAATTCCTTCCAGAGTATACATTGGTAACCGAAGCCTAGAATAGCATCAAGACAGGGATATGAAAGCAATATAAACATGCCAGCACGTAATTGCCAGTGCCTCAAACTTTAATAAATGTAAGCTCAGCTGTAATCTAGCCTTTAAAATATCATCAGAAGCTTTACTAGAGCATCAAATAACTTCTCCTAAGAAGCATACCTTGTGTGCCCAGTACAAGTATGAACTCTCGTCGTTGATTTCTTTACCCAATCGAGAAATCACTTTAGATGGAGTCCACAATGTATTCTGGGAATTGGAAAACAGGGATAATGATAAAATTAGACACTCTTTCCACCTTCACTGATATCCCAACAAGAGAAGTGGACAACATAGAAGACTAAGTATTGCATGAAAAGGAGAACAGGTTCAGAAAGCATACTGTAAATTACAAATATAGCCTAGTATTCTGTCAACAATCCATCCTTAGCGAACGCAAAAATATGAAAATGTGAAAACAAATTGCGACACTCCATCCAGAAAAGCATGCATATGCAGAAAGATGAAGAAATAGAGTTAAATGTTACACTTTTTGTGAGATATCCAAAGCTTAACTAAATTTGTTTTTCTATAACAGATATTAACTTGGTCAATCCAGACAGTAGTCATTTTCCTTTTTCTCTAAAATTAGAAACAATTTACATATGAAAGCCAAACATACCTTATATTTATATCACGGTGTTGCTTGATTATTTCGTTTTTCCAAAATGTTCATAAAATGCAATAAACTAATGGAAGAATAATTCCTGAAACGTGACAGTTGACCAATATAGATAGAAATAATGTAAGAGCAACTCCAAGGTTCTCTTTAAATACAAAATACTCTCTAAAATAGAAAGTAAATGCTTAAAAATGAGCTCCAAGAGACTCTATTTTAACTTTTTAAAGTAGAGAGTGTATTTGACTCTCCAAATTTAGAGAGCCAAATTCACTCTCTATTCTTAATGTATAATGATTGCATTTAATACATTACAAATTTCAATATTCTACAATTTAAATATTTCAAATTACATTTAAATTGATTGGTCATTATATAAAAAAATTATATTTAAATAAAATATATGGAGAAAAAATTAAATATTCATTGGAAAATCAAAATAAAGAGCTTGTTGTAGTGTATAAAAAAATTACTCTCTAAATTTAAAGTTGCTCTCTATTATGCATAAGATGCTCTTTATAAATAGAAAGTCTTTTGAGATGCTCTAAGGTAACGGATACAAATACAAATAACATTTAGCATTTATAGCTTAGTTGACAACAAAATCAATGCAAAAATAGAAGTAAACACAATCCAAGAATGTCCAGCCTACTAAGCCCCTGTTTGACACCCATTATTTAAGAAATTAAAGAGTTTGGACTAGTAGTTGTTGAGGAATGTGTGATTAAAAAGTAAAGAAATTTTATTTGTTTGTGTGTAGAATATTTTATTCAGTGAATGTGTGGTGAAGAATCATACTATAGCAAACAAGTTAAAATTTTAGAGGTTGTCAAACACACTAAATTTTGTCTACAATTTATCTAGTTGACTCCACTCTACTAGGTACATACAAGACAAAGTCCGTCTAATAGCTTAATTTTGTAACTAAGCAGCTTCCATCAAAAAAGTTACAGAAAATAGTTTCAAAAAAAAAAAAAATAAAAAAAAAATGCATAGCATAAGAACTATGCTGCAGACAATCAGAATTAGAAAAAAGAAATACCATTGAAGTTTGTTCATCAAACATCTGGTCGAAAATTGGAATGATCCAGTCCTCAAATTTACAGTAGTTGTCATTAGGAACCAACAAGTTACCAATGCGGTTCAACCCTTTTGCACGTAGAGCAGCTCCAGGAAGAGAAAATTCACCTTTGTATGTCGGCGCAAGGCATTTTACAAGGTCCTCCTCTACACCACCGGCTGTCGTTACCACTACATCAACCTGAAGAGAAATGCAAATACAATGATCCATCACATAAATGTTGCATATTAATTCCAGAACAATGCAGATTGAATCTACAATCCTTGTATTATGTGATGCGTCTTAAAAATCATGGGTCCACAAAAATAATCAATAAAGCTATTAGTAATTTTTGAAAATGTTAGGGAAGGATAAAACGACGACGACAAACAAAATCTTAAGTTAAATTGACTACATGGATCCTATTTCGCCCCTCCATAGTGCTTATTGCTATATATACTGGAGTCTTCATAAAAACGAAATCCTTAACAACTAGTCAACTACAACGAAACCATGTTAATTTCTGTCCAAATCATCCCACTTTCATATTGAGATTGCATCACTCTTATGAACGGTAGCCACTTTCAATTTATGCAAGACATGTCCAGAACACATATGTTGTTTCAATGACAGGTGCCAACTCTACCTGTCGGCCAATATTCTCAATTTATATCTAATTCAGTTTAATATAACAGCACATGGATCTCAGCATTTTTATATACGCTATAATTATCTACAGATATCTTGTACTTTAACTACCCAGTATTCAGTATCATAGAGCATAACAATTCTAGTCACTATTCTGTACAACAAGTTTTTTAAACTAAAGGATCTTTCTATTACATAGAATTCATGCAACAGCAACACTACTTTATTTCTTCCAACCTGCTTTAATCCTATGTGATACATTCTCTTGAATCCGTCCTTTATTAATAATCAAACATATATTCCCAAAACAATCACTTTAAGAGGAAGTTGCCTCCATTTCGCTTTGACCCAACAGAATCATAGGAGATCTTCACTTGTCTTCACTTGTCTCTTGGACAACATGATCATCTATTATAACTCAATTAATATCGTGGCCCTATCACTAAAATGGTATTGCATATTATGTGTCTTGGTTCTACTTAACCTACAACCTTCATATTCCAGCTTCAGCATACTCTCCCAAAGTTTTATCTTAAGATTTAACCCCTTCTTCTTTATATAATAAATTGAAAATATCCCATTAGCAAATAACATACACTAAGGAACCTGACCTCATCTTGAGTGCGTCCATAGACTCATCTATGACTCAAGCGAAAAGATAAGCACTTACGACAGAACCTTGATTCAACAAGGAATCCCCTACTACCGCACAAAAAAAAATAAATAAAAATAAAAATAAAAATCTTGTTCAGTGAGACATAAAAATTTTGTTTTTCTCATCATGTGCACCATCAAAATTCCAATTTCTAAATTTCTATAGCAAATCCGACATACAATCCGTATCATTGTTTATCTTAAACACAATAGGAACAAATGGTTAATATCACAATCGAAGTTGAAATCAGTTTTCAACCATTCCACAAAACATGTAGAGTAAAATATCGATTGAATACTAATATTGTACTTATCACTCACCATGCGATGCTGAACAAGATACCGGATTATGTCTCGAACGCCTGAAGAAATCAGGTTGGATGTGAAACCAAGAAACACTTTGCACTTCACGGACTTTCTGTAAGTTGGGTCACTCTCCTCTTCACTGCATTCTTCTGTCAGATTCTCATCTGAAAGCCTCCAATCTAGCTTCAACCACAACAAATCTATAATAATTAGTCAAAAGCATACCTTAAATTCAATAAACTTATAATACTGAGGGCAAAACATACTCCAAAATTCACAAAGTAAAATTTATAATCCTTAAAAACAACGGTATTTTGATATTGAATTTAACATTTCATTCTAATATTGAATTTAACATTTCATTCTATGTTCAAACCCAGAAAAGCCCCAAAAGAAAAAAACTTTTGGAGTCTTCAACAATGAAAAAAATCCATTTCAAGGCGCGTCAACTCATACTCCCAAAATCCTATTATAATTACTAAATAACCGATTATGTAAAAGTGTACACAAATAAATGAACTAAAATAGTTCAAACAAGAAAGTACTTACCATTTCATTAACGAGTTGAATAGCATCACCAAGATTGGAGGCCTGGAAGCCAGTGGACACCATGGACTTGAGAACCTCATGATAGTCCACTCCCTTGTTGAAATCGTAGCCCTCGATTGTCGTGCAAATTCCGTCAAGTAGCGGTAAGTGAGTCTTTGAATCGTCTCCATTGCCAAGCGAAATTTGCTTGGCTACTGAGTACAGAGTGACGAGTGCCTGTACAAATTGATGGAGATGAAATTTGGGGAAATGAGTTGGAAAGGCCACCCTAATAGACATTTTGTCCAATTGGCCTTTGACCAAAATTATAAAAATAAAAAAAATTTTAATTATTTAAAAGTGTCAAAAGACTTTTTTACTCTTAACTTGTAAAATAAAAATGAAGAAGAAATTAGAGTTTTTTCCTAAATTTGCTGAACTCGTGACTTGAACCTTGGATGGAAAGAAAATATTTTAACTTCACAACCATTATGGCAAGTGATGGTCCTTTGTTTTTTGTGAGCAAAATATATATATTACATTTCAAAAAATTGTTTCATTTTCACTTCAAATATAAAATTTAATTAAAATTAAATTTTAACAATAACCCACCGGTTGAACCATTGACCCGGTGATTTTTTTCGAGTAGATTATCGGGTTGGCTCTAATATCTATACATTCATGTTCTAACACACACAACATTCTCTTCCTTCGAATTCAAAAAATCTTCCCCTTCAAAATTATCTTCTCGTTAGAATTTGAACTCTTCTTTTTAAGTTTAAGGTCATCTCTTCTTCGTAATAGATCTCCGATGCACCCAAAGTTTTAACATTGTCCATAACTTAGCAACTAATTGAAAACAATTATTGAGTCATTTATTCATTAGACACCTATTATAACACGTGAAATTTTTTAAAATAAATTTTATCGTTATATTTTGAAAAAAAAATGGACAAAAAATATTTTTTAAATTTCTATCTTATTTAGAATCCAATAATTAGATTTTAATAAAAAGCGATGTAGTATATCGATATTGGACTCATTTTAAAGTTTGTAATTAATAAGAACTATTCGACTAAAAAAAAGTCGATTTGAATAAGTCAGCACCAAGGTATTTGCAGTTTGAAGAAATCGTAAAATTTAACTTATCAACTTAATAAAAACGTGGAATGGAAATGAGCTGACACTATTTCGCTGATTTGTATAAAGACATTGAAATCGTTCCTGAAATATAAAACGACTTCGATATCGTTTCAACATCGAATACACTCTACTTGATTGATTTGTATAACGACATTGAAATCGTTCCTGAAATATAAAACGACTTCAATATCGTTTCAACATCGAATACACTCTACTCGACTGATTTGTATAACGACATTGAACTCGTTCCTGAAATACAAAAAATAATGTATATGTCGTTTCGATATTAAACACACATAGGTGCACGCTTCGTTTCGATATCAAACACACATAGGTGCACGCTATGGAATAAGTAAACAATGTTATGTCTTTTCAATTCAATTTTCGACGAGAATGATATCGTTCATATTCAATCGTAACTATGATGTCATACATATCGTTTTAGGAGTGGTTACACTAGAACGTTATAACTACGATATTAAATGTAATTATAATTTACATATTTTCGTGACTTTTTATAATTTTCAAGTTTACATATTGTACATATTCAGAATGTAAACACTGTGCATATTCATGTAACGATATACACTTCGTTTCGGTGACACATAAAGTCGTTGACGTCGTTCTAGTATAAAATGCTCTTATTCTAATAACGATTTTGAAACTTCCCCCTAGGCACAAAATAATAACTAGAACGACATATGCATCGTTTCTTTTCAAATTTAACGAGTTTGAAATCATTACAGTTTAAATAATAATTAGAACGACATATGATGACCGAAAGAAGGCATCAAGTGGATTGATAGCACTCGAATAGCTTAGAAAAAGAGAATGGAGATACTGTCTTTCTTTCTATTGAATGATATCGAACTCACTTAGTGACTTATTTTATCATCCTACATACGATAAATATATGTCAGGTGACCATGGACAATCGAATCGTCATTTTTAAAATTATCCTTTTAGTTAAGATTTAAACTAAAGCGATATCAATATTATCAAAATTGTACTAAAGCGATAATAGTATCATTATGTATCAAACCCACAAAATAAGACAATGACTTCCAAATCGTTATAGTACAAATTTAATGATTTTGAAATCATTCCAATTCAAATCACAATGATAACGACATAGATACCGTTTATTTTTATATAAAACGATATTTATATCGTTTTAGCTAAATATAAAGATTCGATCGTTCACAACCACCTGTTATGCTTTCAGCATATGTAGAACGATCGAAAAAGGTCATTAAGTGGATTGATATCAATTGAATGACTTAAAAAGGGCGAACGAAAATACTTTTTTGTCGAAATAGTTCGAAGGTGGTATACAATTATGAGAGCAAAAATGTTCTCATAGTTTCTTTCAAGGGAGATCGAACCCACTTAATTACCTATTTTGATCATCCTACATATGTTAGATGCATGCTTGGTAGTCGTTCGAATCATTATTTTTAGCAGAAACGATATAAGTATCGTTTTATTTTAACTGAAACGATATGTATTTAGCTTTAGTTATGATTTAAGCTACAATGATATCAACGTCATCAAACTTGTATTGAAATGATAATGATATCGTTATATATCAAAATCACAAATAAAGTAACGACATTCATATCGTTTAAGCACAAATTTGATGAGTTTGAAATCGTTCCAATTCAAATCACAAGTATAACGATGTAGATATCGTTTCTTTTCATATAAAACGATAATTATGTCGTTCTAGCTAAAAATAACGATTCGACCGTCCACAACCACATGTCATTCTTCAACATACATAAGACGATCGAAAGAGGTCATCAAGTGGGTTGATACCACTCAAATGATTTAAAAAGAGTGAGCGAAGATACTTTCTGTTAGAATTGTTTGAAGATGGTATACAATCATGAGAACAAAAATATTCTCATAATTTCATTTGAGTGAGATCGAACCCACTTGATTACCTATTTTGATCATCCAACATATGTTAGATGCATGTCTGGTGGTCTGGTCGGTCGAATCGCTATTTTTAGCAAAAACGATATAATTGTCGTTTTATTTTAACTGTAACGATATGTGTGTAGTTTTAGTTATAATTTAAGCTAGAACGATATCAACGTCGTCAAACTTGTATTGGAACGATAATGATATCGTTATGTATTAAAATCACAAATAAAGTAACGACATTCATATCGTTTTAGTACAAATTTGACGAGTTTGAAATCGTTCCAATTCAAATCACAAGTATAACGACGTAGATATTGTTTCTTTTCATATAAACCGATAATTATATCGTTCTATCTAAAAATAACGATTCGACCGTCCACAACCACCCGTCATGCCTTCAACATATGTAAGACGATTGAAAGAAGTCATCGAGTAGGTTGATACCGTTTGAATGACTTAGAAAAAGCAAACGAAGATACTTTCTATTGGAACAGTTCGAATGTGGTATATAATCATGAGAACAAATATGTTCTCATAGTTTCTTTTCAGGGAGATCGAACCCATTTAATTATCTATTTTGATCATCTTAAATATGTCAAATACACGTTTGGTGGTCGTGAACGGTCGAATTGTTATTTTTAACATAAACAATATAATTGTCGTTTTATTTTAATTGAAACGATATGTATGTAGTTTTAGTTATGATTTAAGTTAAAACGATATCAACGTAGTCAAACTTGTATTGAAACGATAATGATTTCGTTATTATCAAAATCACAAATAAAGTAACGACATTCATATCGTTTTAGTACAAATTTGACGAGTTTGAAATCGTTCCAATTCAAATAATGACTATAACGACATAGATATCGTTTCTTTTCATATAGAATGTTAATTATATCGTTTTGACTGAAAATAACGATTCGATCGTCCACAACCACTCAACACGTCTTTAACATACCAAGTAAGATCGAAAGAATTCATCAAGTGGGTTGATACCACTCGAATGACTTAAAAAGAGCGAACGAAGATACTTCTTTTTGTCGAAATAATTCGAATGTTGCATACAATTGAGGAAACAGAAATATTCCCATAGTTTCTTCTGAGTGAGATCAAACTCACTTGATTATCAATTTTGAGCATCTTACGTATGTCAGATGCATGTCCGGTTGTGGTGGACGGTCAAATCGTTGTTTTTAGCATAAATGATATAATTATCGTTTTATTTTAACTGCAACGATATGTATGTAATTTTAGTTATGATTTAAACTAAAACGATATAAACGTCGTCAAACTTATATTGAAACGATAATGATGTCGTTATGTATCAAACTCGCAAATAAAGTAACAACATTCATATCGTTTTAGTACAAATTTGACGAGTTTGAAATCATTCTAGTTTAAATAATGACTATAACGATATAGATATTGTTTCTTTTCATATAAAACGTTAATTATATCGTTTTGACTGAAAATTACGATTTGACCGTCCACAACCACTCAACACGTTTTTAACATATCTAGGACGATCGAAAGAAGTCATCAAGTGGGTTGATGACATTCAAATGGTTTAGAAAGAACGAACGAAGATACTTCTTTCTATCGAAATATTTCGAATGTTGTATACAATCGTGGGAATGGAAATATTTCCATAGTTTCTTTTGAGTGAGATCAAACCCACTTGATTATCTATTTTGAGTATCCTACATATGTCAGATTCATGTCTGATGGTTGTGGATGGTCGAATCATTATTTTTAGCAAAAACGATATAATTGTCGTTTTATTTTAATAGCAACGATATGTATGTAGTTTTAGTTATGATTTAACCTAAAACGATATCAACGTCGTCAAACTTGTATTGAAATGATAATGATGTCGTTATGTATCAGACTTACAAATAAAATAACGACATTCATATCGTTTTAATACAAATTTGACGAGTTTGAAATCGTTCCAGTCCAAATAATAACTATAACGACATAGATATCGTTTCTTTTCATATGAAATGTTAATTATAACATTTTGACTAAAAATAACGATTCGATCGTCCACAACCGCTCAACACGTCTT